CCCGAGACATAACGACTTGTAGGCGCGCCATAAAAATATCCCTCACTGGGATCCAACTAAGGGGTGACCGCAAACATTAGCCTTGAAATAGATACCATATCCAACCTTAGCAAAATCTCTCTGATGAATCTATTGATAAGAATTAACTCTCTGACCACTTAACGAAGAAAAATAGTCGAGCCACTCCCACAATAACGAATTTTGTAACGGACCATGCCTAAAAACACACGTAAACCGAGAGATAGCTTATTCCTAAAATTTCGCTTGAGGATGAAACAGGACTAAACACCTTAATTCAACTTAATTTTAATAATTATTTGGATGGTTTCGGCTCTCGTTTTTGAAACATGAGAACTCTTATGTAGCAAAGGAATCATATTTTTAAACAAAAAATATTATATATATATATATATATGTGTATATATATATGTATATATGTATATATATATATTAAAAGCTGTCTGCGTGCAATCTGTGCAGTTAAGCTTCAAGATAGGACATCAAACGTAGACCTGTTTAACAGGTGTAATATTGGAGGAATCGAGACTTTTATCATACAGTCTCAGTTACGGTGGACTGGTCATGTCTTGAGAATGTCTGATGACAGGATACCCAAGATCCTAATGTACAGCCAGTTAGATCAGGTCTACAGGCATGTAGGGCGCCCATGGCTAAGATACGAAGACAAGCTGAAAAGCAACTTGTCAGCAGTCAATATACCACATAACACCCTTCAGCGCTTAGCTTTGAAGCGGGTAGAATGGAGATCAGCGTGCTTTAGTGGACTCAGCAATTTTCAATCTGCTTGTCTGAATCATCTTCAAGAAGCGAGAGCAAGGTCTAAAAGGTCAGCCATTCTAACAATGATCTCATCTTACAATTCTCACACCTGCTCCATATGTGGCCTCCTTTGTAAATCACTAGCGGGTCTTGAATGCCACTTAAGATTATCGCAAAACTTTCATAACTGAATCAATAAGCTGGCAGATCCTGATACATTGAAATCGACAGGATAGTCCATTATTATATATATATATATATATATATATATATATATATATATATATATATATATATATATATAATGGAATCTCCCTCATTTTCGGTGTATGAGTGCCTTTCAGTTAAGTTTCTTTATTTTAATGTCTCGCATGAGGCAAAAAATCTTGAACTCAGAACGGAACTGTAGTTTATCCACACATTTGTTGAGAGTGGTGAAGGGCTTGTGTAGAACAAGCCACACTTTTTTGAAGAGCCGAATGCAGAGACCTGGTGCACTACGCGCCAAATGGTTGCCAAACGACCATAAGCAGGATTTGAATTCAGAGTTATCCCTCTCCTAGACCAGTTGCCGTCCGAGACTATAGAACCCAGTCTTTGGACCCCTCGACGTGGTGTAATGGTTAGAAAGATTTTCTTTCTAGATCAGATACAACTGAGTAGGGAGTTCGATCGTCACTGGGTACCCCGTATATTCGGCCTTATACTACATCTAAGCTGCGGTTAGAAAATCACTATAGAACCCAGTCTGTCCTGCTATTTACTCATAGCTGGTTGGGGGAGAGAGGTTTCATTCCTTTCCCAACTGGAATTCGAACACGGCTCTTCGATTTCTCAATTCGAGAAGCTATCCTTTATTCCATCATACTTCCTCTATGATGGTAAAGAAAATTTTCCACGTGCGCTTCTAATATGTGTATATGAGCCAATGAAAGAAATTCAAGAGATAAAAAAAAGACAACAATTATATTTTTATGTACTAGCTTAAAAGACATCGGCCTTCAGATCAAATAGAGGCATGATGAGAAAAGATTCAGGTTTTTAACCTCTATATATATAAGTTGTGTGTATACACACACACACACATGTATATATATATATATATATATATATATATATATATATATATATATATATATATATATATATATATATACACTCACACACACATATATATATATGTATCTATCTATCTATATATATATATATATATATGACGTACTATTATACACATTTATTTACAATATGATCTTCGACGTTCATAAAAATTCGTTGCTTTAATTTAATCTAAAAATCTTACTTATTATAAAACCCAGGTTGTGTGTGTGTGTTTGTGTGTGTCTGTTTCGTTTATATATTTCCTACATTCTTCAACGGATTTCAACAGAAATTCACAGGACTACGTAAAATTACCTTGCGGTGGTTCTGACATCGTCAAAAATTGGGTAAACACAAGTGTTTTTGGACAAAATTCATTTGAAAACACGATTAAGAGGCATCGCGAGAATGAAAGGGGGGCAACTCATATCGAGTTATACTTAAAACCCAGGTTGTTTGTGTGTGTGTGTGTGTGTGTGTGTGTGTTTCTTTATATATGGGATCGGATTTTCTACATTTTTCAACCGATTTCAACACAACTTCACTTTTTTTTTGGCAGGTAGTGTTTCTTATTGTCTTGCACAATAGGAAATACTGACTGATTTGAAGTGAAGACAAGCATTACTGACCGCATATGTATCATGAAAATAAACATATTAAACATTAACTTTAATAGGAGAAATCCTAGAAATGTAAATAACGAAACATGCTATAATAGTACTATATAGATATATTATTTTATTTATTTTCTTATTATTCTGTACGGCATTTCAGCTATGATAAAATGGTTAAGAAATTACTCTTACATTAAAACTATCTAGATTGAGTCGGATAATTTACGAGCAAATGTCAGCGCCTAATTATTTTGCCACACTCTCCCCACTGAGCGGTTCATCTGTGAAAGGTCTAAATCAATCGAAGTTAAGATAGAGAGAAATTTAAACCGAGGAATGGAAGGAAAGTATCAAGTTTATTTTATTACTCTATCTGGGATTACTTTAATAGATAGATTCTGGAAGTATGACATATTTTATTTAGTTTAAAACGCGTAGAAATAACAGATTTCTGAGTAGAAAATATATAGTTGGAAGCAAGAAACAAGATTGTGCACTACATACAATAGAAGTATTGTATATTCCTTTGGAGATGGAAGTATTTTCATTCTCTTAGAAAGTGGAAATATTTTCTTCTGGAACATGAAATTATTGTATATATCATGCCAGATGAAAGAACAGTCCCACCTAGATAATCTTGCACCTAAATGACCAGGACACTGCTAGAGTAGAATAAACTGCCTTTAGCAAGCACACCTAATAAACAAAAAACAAAAAAAAAATAGTTTTCCATGCTCATTTGCCACACACACATACACACACACACACACATTAGCTAGAGGCAACCGGGCGTCTAGCCAACCTGATGAGCAGTGATACAGCGAAACAGTCTGTCTGTGGAGGATAATATATATGCTCCCTGAAATATATATATATATATATATATATATATATATATATATATATATATATATATATATTAATTTGATACATAATGCATAAATAGAATTAAAGAGACATAATTTAGTGTTCATTTGTTTGTTTTAGTTGAGCCTAGGTACCTTTCGACCAACTCTTCGTCAGGGACAAACAAGTGATGTGACCGAAGAATATTCTCCCTCTGCTTACACAGGGACGGCTGCTGTAATTTGATACAGACAACTTCTAACATTTGCAAATGGCGTTTGGAGCGAGCCATATGCAAAATAGAGAATGAATCAGAAGTATTCAATTGCGATGAACACAGTTCATTCTCGAATAGGTTTTGTCCAGTCGCAGATTCATGTGCTGATTGTGAAAGAACACGAGTGGGATTATGTTGATTTAATGTGATTCATGTAGCTACGTGTTGACCTAGCCTTGTGTCTAACATTAGTCAAGAACATCCTATATATTCAGCTTCACAATGACATTTAAATTTCTAAATTAAGAAACTTTAACTTAAATAGGGTTTTAACAAAGAAAGGAAAAACGAGGCGGCTCCTGAAAACAATACGCAACTTGGCGTTATTTGGAGGATGATGAGTATCTATATTTTCTCGTTTTGCACTCACGTTTGGTATATTAATAGCTCTTTTCTTAAATGTACGTATATTTTAATCATGTATTTATTTTTATACGTCCTTCAAATTTTCTTCCACTTATTCATTCTTTCTCATACCAATTTACTTAAACCGTGCTCTGCCATTAATTTGCTCATCCTAGCCAGGTAGGTTGTGCATTGCTTTCCTCTAGCTCTCTGACCTTCAATAAATCTTCCGAGTATCAAGCCTACTTTCTTTCCGTCCAAGACATTTCAACTCCTCTTGATGATAAAAATAAGTGTTCTTTTTGTTGCCATTGTCTCTAGAAGTTTGTCGTTGCTCACGTGTTCAGTCTAGAGTATTTTCAGCAACATTCTCTAAAGCCACATTTGTGTTGCCTCAAGTCATTACTTTCTCTGTGATGAGATTGTCCAGCATTCCCTGCTATAGAGAAGGACTGATACTACATAAGAATCCACTACTCTTTTTCCATGTTTCTAACTATATTTTTCTGTGTCATACTTGGGTCAAAAGAAAACTTGATTCAATAGGCAACCATTAGACGAGTTTATAATTAAATCTCTAGGTAAACATAAGCCCTTTATACTTTGGACAACCGATAAGCATTAATACATTAGTCAATATAGATTTGCTTTAGGAAATATCATTACAAATTTTGAGCATATAAATTAGTTTAACTGAATCATCATCAACCTTGCTACCCTTAATAATGATTCTAGGAGAAAACAACACTCTAGTCACAGCCAGGTGATCGTGGAGTCAGCATCTCCACCCATAAAAGCGTATTTGTTACAGAAATGAATATAGCAGATGATAACGTATTGAGAGTGTAACACGAGACGCTAACATGTCAGAAGACTGGACCAACACAAGTAACTCTGTGATGAAATACTCAGGCATATACGTTATAGAAAAACTGACATAAAAGCAATGCCATTTTCTCAACGATATATTTTATGTTTTTTTCCAAACAGATATTTTCCAAAATAATTCATTGCATATTGACATTGCCCATGTTCCTAAGGGAATGAAATAGTGATGCAAAATTGTTTTCCATTTTTTTCCCGTTCTATACATCAATATTGGTTTTCCGATACATTAATTTCTATCTATCTATCTATCTATCTATCTATCTATCATAAATCACCTTAAATTGTTCATTATCTATCGATCTATCTTGCATTGTCATTTAACTATATATATATATATATATATATATATATATATATGTGTGTGTGTGTGTGTGTGTGTGTGTGTGTGTATTGATGCAAATGCTCGTTTATAAATTGAGCACTCTGAGTCACTGGCATGTTTATTCTAAAATAAATACGTCAAAATTCAACGTCCTCTCTGCCGGGAGCTGATAGCTCAGGAGAAAAATTTCCAATTGATGCCAAATCGTTTGGGTTTCGATCTTGGCTTGAGACAATCAGATGTCTAGCTACACTGATGAGCTGTGAAACAGTCTGTTTGTTGATGAATATATATATATATATATATATATATATATATATATATATATATATATATATATATATATATGTGTGTGTGTGTGTGTGTGTGTGTATATATATATATATTTTAAAGATATTTTTGTAGGTACAAAATTTAATGACCGAAATAAAAGTATAAATTTTAATATTACAAGACATATTAAAAGTATTAAATAAAAAAAACAAAAAACTCAACAACAACATATATATATATATATATATATATATATATATATATATATATATATATATATATATCGTGCTTTGTTCATTATCAATCTATCTTAAATTGTTTATTATCTATCTACATATCCGTCTTGCATTCTTCATTATCTATTCATCTATCTTGCATTGCTTATTATCTATTTTAAATTGTTCTTTATTATTTTACACTGTTCATTTTCTGTCTGTCTTGCCTTCTTCATTGTCTATCTTGCATTATTTGCTATCTATCTATCTATCTAACTATCCATCTATCTTTCGTTCTTGCATTGTTCATTATCTATTTATCGGTCTTATTGTCGATCTTTTTATAAAGTGAGCAAAATGTTTGTTTTGATTAAGGAAACGCCTAATCGATTGTTCTCTTAACAACACCGGAGATAACAGCGAGAGGTAACAATAAATAACGTTGGAGCTTTGTTGACCCAAACCAGCATGCAACTTCCAACGTTTCTTCAAATTTTTCTAACACCACTTCTGCCGCTAGGGAGCATGCGTCCTCCCATACTCTGATTCCAGACACGTTTACACGCCAGACGCCCGGGTTGATCTTCCTGTCGAACTCTGCCTACTGTTTCCTTCACCATCTGCTTGAGGGGGATATTGTCAACTTGGTCATCCCATCCCTTTTTGACTTGGTTTGCCCGACGTTTGATGTACCTGGTCGCCACACGCAGACATCCACTAAGTGGGTGATGTTACACCAGCTTCCCGCATAATGAGATGACATTCCGCCGAGTCAATAATATCAGTGACATTTGGGATCGTAAAGATTGTTACGATGTCCACCCGCAGACATCCATTTCAAGGATACGATCCGTATCCTTTAATCGTTTTGGGTCTTTGCAAATCAACCCATACTGGGCCAATTTTGTCCTGACATGCTAGAATTGGCATACGCGTCGTAAATATACGCCGACGTCACTCTCCAATGTGACTGCACGGTGGCAATAATGGAATCCATGATTGAGGCCGAATCCGAACCGCATTAGGCAAAACCGCTTCTCCTTGATCATCACGGTTTGATATGGCAACAGTGATACGCTTTTCGCAAATCAAGTATTGCCGTATTTGCCCCTTGGAGCACTTTCGCAGTTTTACCGAACGGACGTGTGCATTTGCAGCGAACGCATCAATGTGTTTGTTGCGCTCGCGATAGTTCATCTCTTTGTTGTGGTGTACAACAGTCATTAATGCCACTAACCCTGTGGGTTGCCCGAGTTTCTGTTCGGGCTATGGTATTAGCCAACCACTGGAAGATCCATGCACGGTATTCTTGTTCATAAGCATCTCTAACCGGTTACTCCGATACCCTGATGTGTAACCGAGCCGGCGCCACACCAGCTGTCCATTTTTATTTTGCAGTTCGAATCTTTTACTGGTGGTTAAATTTAAAAAAAATTCAGGTTGTTCAAAGTAGGCCACTGCACCTTTTGTTGTTTCTTTGATGCAGGACCGTACAGCTCCAGTTTGAGTGATATGTGTTGCAAAAAGTTTTTGGGAGCACACACAGAAAAAGCAAGGTAGGACGAATCCAATAGGTTCACTCGGCAAATCAACTCCACACTTCTTGCCTCGACCTCCAATACGCCACTCACTGTTCCGAAGGACAATCTCAACACCTGTTAAATGAGCGTACCATGTTTTTATCCACCCGACCCAGCCAACACGCATCCAATGAGCGCCCAGAAGCAGCCAACAAAAATGGCCACAAGCAACAACACCACCATTATCACGAAGTACTGTAAGATTCACCGTCCGTCTGAAGCTCGTCGATTCGCCGTCTCCACACTCCTTTGCAAAACATTCACGCGAGGTAAGTCTCCGTTACAATATGGTTACCACCTAATTCAGTTATCGCATCTATCCCAGCAAGTAATTCAAAGCCTAGCGGTTTGTCACGCACCACAATGATATCAACCCTGGTTGAGTTGCCATTGTCTGTGCAGATATTAATAGTCCCGACACAGCACCACGCCCGCATTCTGCCACATTTCCTGTCCACATCTTCGCGTTTTCCAATCCACAACCTGCATCGCTCTGCACTAACGACTGACCGAGATGAGACAGAGTCACTGAAAGCTGAACACCATTCCGCGTCAATCAATAAGTTGACTACAGGCAGTGCAGCATTTATATCTGGGAGGGGAATAGAGACTGGCGTTGATGTCTATTCTCCTGATCCGTTTTTCCGGAAATTTCCGTGATATACGGCCCAGTTCGTCACAGTGATAGCGCCGTATGGCTTTCTGGCGCCGACTTTTCCTAGTTCGTCGACTCAAACAATATCTAGCCAAGTGATCAACACCACCACATTTGTGGCCTACTATATCGTTCTGTGTGTCATAGACAATCTGTATCCAGTTTCTCAGGCTTTGCGGCTGCCAGAATCAATTCCGCCGACGGTGTATCGTCATTCATGATGGCTCTAGCATCCAGTGTATCCATTCGAGAGGAAGCAGAAAACAGTTTCCTAACGTGCTCAGGCAACCCTGCTACAAATGCATATGCAAGTCCACGGTCAGAACCCCATCTATACAGGGTTGACAACTTGCGGTGTCTGCCAGATTTCTTCGAATTCAAGCGACTAGCTACAAACAGGTCGTATGCTAAGAATGGATCTGTGATAAAATAAACATAGAGGACATCTTTGATACAGCCTACATCTTTGCTGAGTTATTGGAATACGGCGAATACTCCTCCATTCAATCGAAGTGGCCGCACAGATCACAGACTATATCAGCCTTTTCAATCAGATTAAAAAATAGTATAACCACGGATTGAACCATCAAATTCAAGGATTAGCTTCAGTTCAAACTTGCCATCTGCCATGAGTGCTCAAATAGGTTTTGTAAAGTAAGCTAAGATTCGGTTTAGACTGGGGAAAAAACACCTAGCCGATTTCAAACCTAACAACTATAGGGATAATAGAAAGAGACGGGTAATGTGACGGGAGGCAACAAAAAATAACACTGCCTCAGAAACCACAGCCATTTGTAAACAAAATGAGCACGGGGATGACTTCACAGGACACAGTATCTTTTCCAACTGCTGACTAGGTTTTATAGGCATGAGGAATATTAAAAAGTCCCGGATCTTGACTAGGTGCAGAGCGGCTAGACATTCCAAACTGATACGCATGTGATCCGAGACCTCTTTTGCGTCTATATTGACGCGACTTCGCGACATATCTTGAAATGTTAATATCTATCTATCTATCTATCTATCTATCTATCTATCTATCTATGAGCATGAGCACACCTGTGCGTATATCTAGAAAACACACATATATGAAGAGGCAACAAAGTAACAATTCTAAGTTCATATAAGTAAGCTAGTGTGTGTGTGTGTGTGTGTGTGTGTATGTATGTATGTATAATATAATATAATCTAACACTATTTAAACTCGGTGGGTGAAAAAAACCTGGATAGCACAATTTTCAAAAACAGTGTCTTCCGAGCAAAAATTGGAGGAAAAAAACAAAAGCAGGACCCAAGAAACCGTCCAGTACCTTAAATATCTGTTACAAAGAAAATAAAAACAGTGAGTAATAATGAGTAATGGCTCATTAGGAGATATATATATATATATATATATATATATATATATAGGTGACATTTTTGCTTCATGTATTCATTGCAAGATATAGATATATATATATACATATATATATATATGTCTGTGTGTGTGTGTTTGTGCGTTTGTCTGTGTGTGTGCATATAAATATATTCAAATGAAATATATATTAGTATATACATAAATATGCACAAATACATATACATGATAGATAGATAGATAGATATGCATATATATATATATATATATATATATATATATATATATATATGTGTGTGTGTGTGTGTGTGTTTTCTGCCTATTGGACTCGTCCTATCAATGCCGCTTGTGGATTGGAAAGCGCGAAGACGTGGAGAGGAACTGTGGTGCGTGACAAATGAAATATATATTAGTATATACAAAATATACACAAATACATATAGATGATAGATAGATAGGCATATATATATATATATATATATATATATATATATATATATATATATATATATATATAGGGATATATATATATATATATTCATGTATTTATGTATGCATGTATTTCCTCTCGTGTATGTGTGTTTAACATTATGGACATCAAGGCGCGTTAGCAGTGAAATGTTTTTCTTTTTTCCATTTTTTTTGTTCATATCACTTATTTCTTTTTTTTTTGGCAATTTCTTTTCTCCACATTTCAACAGGAAACAACAACGAAAAGTTCACAGAGGGCAAACCAACTTGTTTGTTTATGGTAAACCTAAGCCCACCAAATAAAAAACAACAAAAAAAAAACAAACAATAATACATTAGACAGAGCTCAATTGTTTAGCTCAATAAACATTCGCCTCATACATTTATTTATTTTTTTTTCCATATATCCT